CTCTTTTCAGGCTAAAATAAATGACAAAAGCAATTTTTGGAACAGGTTTTGTGACAATAGAAACCGATTATAGATATCAAAATAAGGTGTTTCAAAAATTCATTAAAGATTAAAATTGTGATGTTTTCTAAAGACAATAATCACCTACAATCGATACAATTGAGTATAGTTTGAAAATGAGATGTCTTGTCAGCATTCGGTTCATTTGAACAGAAGAATTTACCTCGAATCAAAAGTTTCTTATAGTTCCCTTCATAGTGGTTGAAGGGTCCCGACAAAAAGTAACACAAATAATTATATGATCTTTTTATTGAGAACATTTTAACCGCGAAAAAAGTTCTGATAAATCAGTCAACGTGTATGAAAAGCATATTGTATAAAACCAAAAAATATCAAATAAAAGAGATTATAGTAGAAGAAAATGTTATATTCAAACAATTTCGATTCATTAAAACACATTATGTTTCAAGCAAAAAACTCAAAAAACACTTTTTGAATAATCTCAAATCTAACAAAAGAAAAAAGATAATTGAGAGAGTACAAATAAACAATTTAAACAAAACGAGGCCAAACTCTGCACTGGATAGGCGCACAAATTTGTGTCTGTATGTTCCTGGATTCCCGTTACAAGTCTTTGAATAAGTTCAAATTTTGTCGGAACGATCAAAGGGAACGAAAGAACAAAAGAAGAAAAAAGGAGCGACCTTGCTGCAAAGTCTGGGTACAATTAACAAAAAGCATAGTTAGGCCTCGTTATGAGAAATGATGGGAAATCAATGTAAAAAAAAGAGAAATTGAAATCGATTTTTGGTTGCATAAAATAGAATTTTTCTCCATGTTAGAAAAAACTGGTGTTGAAATCATTAACAATTAATTGGTTACGCTGAAAATTGGATAGCAGTGGAAGTTCGATACTATCTGAAACAGTGCGAGAATCCGATTATGTGCCCTTGATATATTTTTCACTGAATCTGGAAATTCATATTTGAACAAACTTCAACTTTCGGAACAAACAAAAAAAATCAAAAAATCAAAAAAACACGTTGAAACTTATCACTTATTTGCTTCTACAAGCAACCATTTTAACATAGTCTGGAATTATGCAAATAAGAGTACAACATAATGGGATAAAACAGACATAAACAAAAAACAAAGCTCAAAAGAAAAACGAAAAAAAAACGTTATGCACTTGCAACACCAAAAAGCCCGGAAGAAAATGGTGCAACAACTTCAGAACAAATTTGTTTGGGCTCAAAAGTTAGGACAAAACGGTTGAGCCTTATTTAGCGAAGGAACAAATTATTTGAAAAAGATTGCCGATTTTTGCACTTCTACTAATGAACTGCAAAAGTCGGCAATCTTTTTCATATAATTTGTTCCTTGGCTAAATAAGGCTCAACCGTTTTGTCCTAACTTTTATGTCCAAACAGATTTGTTCTGAAGTCGTTTCACCAATTTCTTCCGGGCTTCTGCTGAAAGATTATTTAAAAACTAAAAACTATTTGCAAAAACTGAAACAGTTTATGAGAACTTAAAATCAAAGTGGCAATTGCTTGTTTTTTTTTTAAATTAAGTTTTGCTTACATCAGTCAATTTTTCAGTTATCAGAGTCAATTATCTTTACGTGATTTGAGTCAGATATCTTTATGGGGGAAAAAACTTAAAATTCCTGCCAGAAACTTTAAGAGAACAGGGCAATCCTGGACTTGCTGACTACTCGCCAAAGACTTTTAGTTGAAAAAAAGATATTTTCAACCTACATTAAATAAATGATTCATGATTTTACTCTAAAACAAAACTGCATACATTTAACTTGTGTCGCATTACACACCGGAATTTTGAATCGAATTTTGCGTTTATCTCATCAATATTCGGCTTGAAATAAAATAGTGAAGATTGGTGATTTAAAGTCAAAACGTTGAAGTTAGGAAGAGTTGTTTGTTCTCTTGTTGACAGCGGATGTATGGTTTGAAGTAGCTTACACTTTTTTTTTGGGTCAAGTTCAAAAACAACAAAAGGCAATTTAACATTGCAAACACCATGTTTATTTTAGAGCTCGTAGTTTTGAGCAAAAAACACTGAATGTTTACTCGTTTTTAATTTAGAGCGGTCAGTTTTTTATTAGAATTTTTTTGTCTTGTTGTTTCTGATCAACTCCGATAAAAGTAGCTACTTACTGGCAGCTTATGTTGACCAAAACATTATATGCTAAAAACCTGTTCTACCCTTATCTCTTTTCAGGCTAAAATAAATGACAAAAGCAATTTTTGGAACAGGTTTTGTGACAATAGAAACCGATTATAGATATCAAAATAAGGTGTTTCAAAAATTCATTAAAGATTAAAATTGTGATGTTTTCTAAAGACAATAATCACCTACAATCGATACAATTGAGTATAGTTTGAAAATGAGATGTCTTGTCAGCATTCGGTTCATTTGAACAGAAGAATTTACCTCGAATCAAAAGTTTCTTATAGTTCCCTTCATAGTGGTTGAAGGGTCCCGACAAAAAGTAACACAAATAATTATATGATCTTTTTATTGAGAACATTTTAACCGCGAAAAAAGTTCTGATAAATCAGTCAACGTGTATGAAAAGCATATTGTATAAAACCAAAAAATATCAAATAAAAGAGATTATAGTAGAAGAAAATGTTATATTCAAACAATTTCGATTCATTAAAACACATTATGTTTCAAGCAAAAAACTCAAAAAACACTTTTTGAATAATCTCAAATCTAACAAAAGAAAAAAGATAATTGAGAGAGTACAAATAAACAATTTAAACAAAACGAGGCCAAACTCTGCACTGGATAGGCGCACAAATTTGTGTCTGTATGTTCCTGGATTCCCGTTACAAGTCTTTGAATAAGTTCAAATTTTGTCGGAACGATCAAAGGGAACGAAAGAACAAAAGAAGAAAAAAGGAGCGACCTTGCTGCAAAGTCTGGGTACAATTAACAAAAAGCATAGTTAGGCCTCGTTATGAGAAATGATGGGAAATCAATGTAAAAAAAAGAGAAATTGAAATCGATTTTTGGTTGCATAAAATAGAATTTTTCTCCATGTTAGAAAAAACTGGTGTTGAAATCATTAACAATTAATTGGTAACGCTGAAAATTGGATAGCAGTGGAAGTTCGATACTATCTGAAACAGTGCGAGAATCCGATTATGTGCCCTTGATATATTTTTCACTGAATCTCGAAATTCATATTTGAACAAACTTCAACTTTCGGAACAAACAAAAAAAATCAAAAAATCAAAAAAACACGTTGAAACTTATCACTTATTTGCTTCTACAAGCAACCATTTTAACATAGTCTGGAATTATGCAAATAAGAGTACAACATACTGGGATAAAACAGACATAAACAAAAAACAAAGCTCAAGAGAAAAACGAAAAAAAACCGTAGTGCACTTGCAACACCAAAAAGCCCGGAAGAAAATGGTGCAACGACTTCAGAACAAATTTGTTTGGGCTCAAAAATTAGGACAAAACGGTTGAGCCTTATTTAGCGAAGGAACAAAATATATGAAAAAGATTGCCGACTTTTGCACTTCTACTAATGAACTGCAAAAGTCAGCAATCTTTTTCATATAATTTGCTCCTTGGCTAAATAGGGGTCAACCGTTTTGTCCTAACTTTTATGCCATAACAGATTTGTTCTGAAGTCGTTTCACCATTTTCTTCCGGGCTTTGGGTGTTGCAAGTGCACTACGACTTTTTTTCGTTTTTCTCTTGAGCTTTGTTTTTTGTTTATGTCTGTTTTATCCCACTATGTTGTACTCTTAATTGCCTAATTCCAGACTATGTTAAAAAGGTTGCTTCTAGAAGCAAATAAGTGATAAGTTTCAACGTGTTTTTTTGATTTTTTGATTTTTTTTGTTTGTTCCGAAAGTTGAAGTTTGTTCAAATATGAATTTCCAGATTCAGTGAAAAATATATCAAGGACACATAATCGGATTCTCGCACTGTTTCAGATAGTATCGAACTTCCCCTGCTATCCAATTTTCAGCGTTACCAATTAATTGTTAATGATTTCAACACCAGTTTTTTCCAACATGGAGAAAAAATCTATTTTATGCAATCAAAAATCGATTTCAATTTCTCTTTTTTTACATTGATTTTCCATCATTTTTCATTAGGAGGCCTAACTATGCTTTTTGTTTTTTGTACCCAGACTTTGCAGCAAGTTCGCTCCTTTTTTCTTCTTTGTTCTTTCGTTCCCTTTGATCGTTCCGATAAAATTTTAACTTGTTTAAAGACTTGTAACGGGAATCCAGGAATTCAACCTACATTTTTTAGAAGAACACATCAAAAAGTAAAATCGAGGCATTTGGGAGGCTTACTATAAATTCAAATGTCACTGAGAACCAAGCCTGGACACTAGAAAACCCAAGAAATCCAGGGAAACAATGATTTTTTAAAAAAACTTCGACATTAATTTAATTTGGTTTGAATCTAACATTGAACCGAAACTTCATTGCAAATTTTGTTGATTTCTATTTAAGTTTTTTCAAAATAGTTTTTTATCTCATTTTTTTGTAGCTACCAATGCTACAATTTGGTTGCACAGCACGTTACGCCTAGCACCGCTTCTCCTCTGTGTTATTAATATTATTTAAATTAATAAAAAACAAAAAGCGTTATTTAAAAATCCTAATAATTAGATTACGATTCTGCGTGCTTGTAAAATTTTTTGTTGTTTGTAGATATTTTCTAATGCTTTGTTTCAAATTTTTTGGTTTGTGTTGTTGTGTATTAAGTTTTTTTCTTGCTAGCTCTTTGATAGTTAGCCGAACTGTGATGAATTTTTGTCTTTGTACATCAATAATCCTGAATTTTTCTCTAGCTACTTCCTGAACGTGGCTCGAAAAAGTTTTTGCTACTTGACTCATTAAATTTTCAATTTTTATTCAATTTAGTGTGTTAAAATAAATCAGCAAAAGAGAAACTGAAAACCCTCATAAAAAAGTTTAATTGTTGATTCTGTTTTCAGATAAATTGATTTCAAGTGGTGACAAAATGTGGTAAGCTAAGTCATGTGATAAATTGTCTCAGTCAAAGCATGTTTCTATACCGGTTATGAAAATAAAAATATGGTTTTGAACCTGTTTCAGCTACATGTCTGGCCCGTTTAGAATACCAAATAGTCAAATTCTAAAATTATCAAAAAAATAAAGCAGTTTACGTAGCTATTTTTTGTGCCGTTTTTTTTCAAAAATTTCCTGAATGAATTTCTTTTTGTTACTTGTGCTAATATTGGCATCTTGCTTTGTGCATGATATATCGGTAAGTCTTGACTTTTGCCATGAATCTTTTTCTGGCAAAGAATAAGCGGCTTTTCAAAAAGTTAGCTGATCAAAATAGCTGGTTAATATTTATTTTAAGAATTTGAACGTTCTATTTTATGCTTTTACCAGAAGTTTAATTTATAAATTAGCAATCTTAATAAAATTGAGGAAACTATTTCAGGCCTTCAGTGCACATGGCGTGAAGAAATGTGGAGTGTATCTGGACGACTGCTTCAAAGACAGTTGCTGCCAGGGATTCTTCTGCAAGCCAGAGGGAGAGAGTGTCGGATACTGTGACAAACGAACTTAAATAAAGTTTCAGAGATGATGATTGCAAATTTGTTTGAATACTTGTATCAATTTAACCAATATGTAGAGCAGAGATTATTATTTAAATATTAGAAACTTTTGTTCGTTTTTAATTAATCCAAAATTTAAAAATAGTATATATTTCGCTAATAAAACTTGAGGATGGAAATCTGCGCCTAATATAATTTTTGACAAATGTTTGATTAAGATTCACATGTTCAAGAGCCATTAATATTTTTCAGGCGTGTTTTTGCTGCTGCGGCATGTTCAAACTAACTTTATTTGACTCTGCATGGAAACCGCATAATGAAGAATGGGAAAATTTCTGAGCTTCCCATCCAATGAATGGATCCTGCAAAATTCACTGAAAAAAAATGGAAGAAATATCAAAACTTAAAATTTGATGGAAAATTCAGTGCTGATTAAATACCGACAAAACACGTCAAACTTTGTAGTTTTATATAAGTTTGAGATCTCTTGCTAATGTTATTTTTGTAACTTTTTTGTTTTTCGTTGTTTATGTTCTTGCAATTGAAATATTTAAAAAAAAATGTAGCAACTTAAGTTTTGTTTTAAGAAAATTGCGTGTTGACATCAGATGATTGATTTTCAACAGAAGCGCAGAATTATAACAGGCATCGAAATAGTTAGAAACAACGTTCATTTCAACTGTGTTTTTTTTGTTTGATAAAAAAGCGCCTTTGAGAACAAATCGCTCATTCAAAATGCGGTAAATTTATAGTTGTTTTCACGTTCGTTTGCGTGTTTTGAAAGAATAAAATTCTCCTTTGAAAAAAAGGTATTTTTTTAAAACTTCTCATCAGCATATAACTTGCATAAAAAATGATCAGTACTGATTTATAATTTAAAAACAGTTTTCATTTGCAAATGGCCTCGATGGTTTTATAATTTTGTAAATCTATGTCATAAATTGAATTTTCGGGTGAAAATTGTGGCAGTATAAATTTTTGGTAAAATACCATTCTTAGTAGTAGTTAGAACATAGTTGAAAGATGCCCGAGAGAAAAAGAGCCTGGCCTGAGGGCACGAAGTGCCCGAATGCGGCTCTTTTGCCCGATGCCATCTTCAACTATGTTTTAAATGTTGAAGAGTAGATTTTTGCTCTTTCTGAGAGAAAAATGCCACAAAGTTGTGAAAGAGCTCGGAAAAAAGCGCGAAACTAAGCAAATGATTTCTTTTTTTATTCATGCGTTCTAATATTTTTTTTCCATTCTTGCCTTGTCGTGAAAGAACAAGTAGCAAAAACATACTCTTCTTTTTACATATGCTGCAAATGAAGAAAATTGATGCTGCCACATATGGTATCGACTGATGAGCTGTTTTTGGACCGGTTTTTTTCCTGGTTGTTTGACTTTTGTTCTATGATACTTTTACGCAAAGCTTCGTCATTTCCTTGTGACTTTTAATTGCGGTTTTAGAAGAAGTCGAATCTATTGAACTAAGTTTTTTATTTCTGAAATTCTTTGAGTTTGACAAAACATTGTCTGTCGAGCTGTAATTTTGTTAAACCCAAGTGAACAAAATTAAGCAAAAATCAATATTTTGTTCTCTAAAACGCATGTTTTCAATAGACAAGAAAATGCCTGTGTTTCAGACAACATCATTAATTTCCAATTTCAGCAAAATTTTACAGAGACCATAGGCAAATGGTCAGGGCTACCCTATAAAACTAATATAGTAAGAAAACGTGTTCATGCTACGTGAAATTTTTTCAGCGAGAAAGTTAGTTTAATTTGGATGAAATTTATATTTTTATGCGATTTAAAAAACTTAGTTCTGATGAGGAAATCTGGAATTTTCAGTGCGGGATTTAAATGAAAAAAACTTTGAAACCCAGTTTTGATAAAGTTATAGAAATTACTCTAATAATTTGCTCTTGATGAATTGAAAAATGTTAATCAAAATGGACATTGAAAACAGGCATTTTAGAGACAAAAACGTGAATCTTGTTAAACAAAGTGCACTTGATAAAAAGGAAACAATGAAACAGCACGCTCTGGACAAAAATGCAAGCAAGTACAAAAAAAAACAGATGAAGGATAATTTAATCTTAGCAGAATATTTGGAGTGTAGATCAAATTGATTTGACTTCATTTGCGTTAGGATTTTACGCGGATTGAATTTTATAGTAAGTAGAATTATGTTGTTTGAATTTAGTTTCTTTAACAATTTCTTCATATTTCAATCCAAAATTGAGTACAAAAAAAACAACATAATTTTTCTATATGCAGAAAAATTATTAATGACTGTTATCCGGGCACTGTTTTATTGTTTCTATATAATAAATTAATAATTAATAGAAAATTCAAGCAGACTGAAGGTTGCAGCACTATGATGCGGAGTATTGCGTTTTTTGTCAGGGTAAAATTTATTTTCACTACTTTGATCATTTTATCCACTAGCTTTATGCTCTTTTTCATTTTTCGAACTTTTACTGGCGTGAAGTTGCCTGAGCGTGGAAAACTATTTCGCTTTGGCGCCGTCAAAGGGACAATCAACAACTTCTTTGCCCATATGAAGTGCCCATAAACATGACTAACAGTGACTTACATTGAAAACGTAAAATAAACATTTCAAAGTTTGAAATGTCGTAGCTTAGCTTTTTTTTTCTAACAGTGGAAAAAATTTTCAGTTTTTATAATCAACAATGAACCATAAAATCTTTGTATTTTCATACCGATAGAGGTTAATAATTTGGTTCCATCTACCCTAGAGGAGAAAACTAAACGCAAAATCAGGTTTAGACTCTCTAACAAATCTTACTTTAAGGACCAATTTGGGCAAATTTAACTTTAAATTTTATCAAAATTTTTACTTCGTCTAGCAGCAAACTATCTGAACTACTCTCTCTGAAACCCTTTCTTTTCATCATCAAGCCCTCGCCAGTTTTTTCAGGGTCTGGAAAGGCCAATTTTGATAATCTCAACTAAGTTTTGTCTTGCAGTCAACTCGAACAAACGGATTTAAAAAAAGTCGTTCATGCAATGAGAAACATTCTCAGCCTAAAATTTGAAAAAATAGTGTGACATACGTTAATAAACTTTGCAGTTTCGTACAATTTCACGCGTTTTGAAAAACTTAGTGCAGATGAGAAAATCTGGCACTTTCAGACCCCGTTTACATTGACAAGTCATTAAAATCAAATGTTCATAGTTTTATAAAGGGTAACTCTGATCGTTTGCTCTTCCTCTATGTAAAAATTATCTCTTTTACTTATGTATAACTTCCTAAATTTGCACTTGGTTTTTCTTTCTAGTGTATCTCAAACTAGGATTTCTTATGTAAAGCTAGATAGAAAAATCAATCAAGCAAGCGATTTCATTTTGACAGTTTTTGTCGATTAAATTTTCACGGAATTTATCAGGATGCAGTCTTTTTCAATACTACATGTAATTTTGAACAATTTTTAAGCTCAAAAACAGTGTATTAAAGGTAATGAACGTTTTTGTAAGTTTTACTATCAAAAGTGTGCCTCTCAATTACCTTGTCATCTCAGAATATCTTTGAAAACCAGCACATGAAAAGACCTGAAACCGATGTGTTGCTGATTTGATGGAGACCAATGAAACAATAGAGTAAAGATGCATACTTTTTTCAGATTATTTTTAGTAACCTATGCTGAAAAAAAAATATTTTAACAATTCATTTGAAATACTGATTGTCCCAATAAACAAGAACTTTATTTGGATTCTCTGCAATGGAAGGACTTCAGACTGAATGAAACATTCGTTGAAAACAGTTGTCGTAATGAATTGAATGTGCAAGTTTGGGCACATGGCAAGTCTGCTAAAATATGTCTGCTGCCTATTCATTCGGACATAGTTAGTAAGCTGGCGCTGGTTTACATTTCTTTCAAGGTACAATTGGGTGAAAATTGCAGGAAACCGATGCCAATTTCTTGGGTTTTTTCTTTTCCCCCCAAACAAATAAATTTTTGCAAGTATCGATATTGTTCACATAGTCCTCTGATTTGTAAATTGTTATGCAGAATATTTAGTGAATGACAAACCTGTTTGATCCTCACAGCTAACCGTGTAAAACAAATTGTAAAACAATGATGATCGAGTGCGGTGGGGTTGGTGGAAGGAAAAAGAACCATTTCTTTTTTTCTCTGTAATTTTGTACCAATCCTTAAATATTTTTCTATTTTGGTTAAATTTTGCTCTAAAAATTGAGTGCAACAAGACCACTCATGCAGGGGTAAATTTTCATTCGTTGAAATCACCTTGATCATCAATTTAGCAAAAGTACCAGTCGAATTTTTTTTCTGAAATGAAAAAAATAATTTTCTTATCGAATTCGTTTTAAAAATACCACATGAGCTAAATAGAGTACAAAAATGTATCAATAGCATCTATTTTTAAATACTTTTAAATTAACAATTCTTTTTGGAATAATTTTTGAGCCATGTTAGCTCATTGCGCACTCTCTGAAGGCCACTTTTTGCGAACTCTTGAACAAGAGTAAAAATTGCAAAAAAAAAATATATCTTTCGAATGTCAGCCAAGTTTAAATCACAACATTTTCGGAAAAAGTCTTTCCAAATGATCACGCTCAAACTTGTTTTTTTTTGGCATTTTGACTATTGATAATTTTTGATCGATTTTTTTTTGTCAAAAACTTAGTTTGTATTGTGGCTTGCTGAGCAATGACTTATTTTTTTTTAGAAGATCTTATGATCAAATTGATATTTTAGCATGTGAGTAGGTTAATTAAAAATGATGGCAATTGGGAGAAGGATATTCAGAAACCACTTTTTACCTCCGTGTTTCAATTGTATCCGAATGCATCGTTTATTGACATTGGGAGTCACGTTGGTTGCTTCAGGTAAGACCCATTTATATTTGAAAAAAAATTGCATGCATATAGTTTATGTAGCTGCGAAGCTTCTAATAATTTTGCGCAATTTGAACGATCAAAAAAAAATAAAGCCAAATTCCGTGCGTTCAAATTTGAACTTGGTCATATTTAAACTTTTCATGTTTAAATAATTGTGTACGTGGTTTGAAACTAGTCTTTTTAAAATACATTTCAACATCATATGATAATTGGGAATGACTTAAAATGGTGTCAAATTTGAAACAAAATATCTTCAAAAGCTCACAAAATGTAC